TTTTATGGTTATTGAAGTTATTTTTTCTTTTGTCATTTTATTTTTATTATTATCATTTTACTTTTATCGTTATATTGTTATTATTGTTACTACTACCACTTTTATTATTTTCATTATTATTTTTACTCCTTTTTTTAATGTTCATTTTGTTACTGCTGTGCACAATTAATATTAATATTAGCATTAACAATATATTTATTAGCTATTTGTAAGGTTTTTACTTAAGATTAGTACATGTGCTATTTGTAAACTTCCATGAATGTAAGAACTATTTCAGAATATATGAATTTATAGAGAATACATGATTGATTGAATAAAGGATAATGCATAAATTATCGAACAAATTTTAATTCAACTTTTCCCGCTAAATAAAAAAAAGTACAAAATAAAAAGTACAAAATAAAAAAAAACACAAGGTCAGGATTATCCTGCTACTGGTAACATGTAACTCTGTACAATCTGCTTCATGTCCTGCTGTCTTGTAGGATACGTCTTTTTAGGTAAAGACTAGGAGATGCCAACTCCAACATAAGGGGTAAACAGATTCTATCTGTTGACCAGTCTCGCACCCCTTCTTCATCTATTAGGCTAGCGCAGATGTATTTTTAATACATTGTTTCCGGTTTAGGATGTTGAATGCTGGATCTTTTTGACTCGATGCATGAGTCTTACTTGTGACTATTTTTATGACTAGGCAACTCATTCTATTATCTCCTAATAAGAGCACAGCTCTAAAACTCAGTTTTATGGATCTGAGGTCGTCTGGTAGTCAGGTTTTTCGAACTCTGTGTTAGCTCTCAGAGAAACTGATTCCATCAACAGCTGAAAAATATCAAAGTATTAACAGTGCCTTGTTGCGCATGAATGGTGTCCCTGTTTGTACTTTTGGTGTGCATTGTCAAGACCACATTAGAGCCCTTCGTTACGGCTTAGGGTTGAATGTATATACACATATTATATGAAATATTTTTTATACAAGATTTTAAATTTATTAGTGTTCTGCAAAAAAAAAAAAAATACACACAGACACACAAAAACTTTAAATTGTAAATTATTATTATATAAACATCAATAAATACGATTTTCTCTCAATACTAAATTTATTTTATATTTTTTAAAGAAATTTTTGCTGGATTGTTGTGACCAACGTCTTCAGCTTAAAAGATATTTGTTTGTTTTTGTTTATATGTTATTTTCAAACTGTTATTTTTTTTTTTGTTTATGTTATTTAAGTTTATATGTTGTTTTATTGTTATTTTTAAATTTATAAATGATTTACGAACACGTTTCTTTAAACAAACTAATACCTTTAAATTTATTGAAAATGAGCTCACAACAAAACTTCAAACAAATGATTATGAAGCCGTAAAAAGAATCACTGAAAAAGCACGAGAAATTATGTCCGTGAAATCAAGAGACAGATTAATTAAAAAATTCAAACTTCTTCAAAATCAAAGCGTTAAGCGAATATCTCATTCAACAATCTATACTAAAGAAGCTGTTTTAAACTAATGCGACACAGAAATTCCAGAACGTCAAAAAGTCTCCTTAACTTTGGACCAAATTTTGTACCAAAAATAAAATCTCTTCCGTATCTTGACATTGTCTCAATAACTGAGTAATCTGCTCTAAAACTTGAGTACAACAAAAAATATGAAGCTGCACAAACTCTGAGGAGAGAAGTTTTGAGAGAATTAAAACTAAATAAAAATAATAAAAATGACAACCTGACTCGTCAACAACGAAAAGCCCTTACACAACTAAAAAAGGATAACAATATTGATATATACCGATTTGATAAAAAAATAGGCTTTGTAACAATCCCTCATGATAAAGCAATAAAAAAGATTCGAGAACAAATTAGACCAACTAAAATAATCAATGAAGATCCGACACAAAGCTACGCGATGAAAATCAAAGTCCAACTATCCAAATTAAATAAAAAAGGTCGGTTCACAAAAGATGAATATCAGCAAATTTATCCCAGTGACCCAATACCACCTCGTATGTATGGTGTAGTGAAGGCACATAAACCTTAAAAATCTTACCCAGTGCGAATTGTAGTATCTACAATAGACACACCAATCTACGGAATCTCAAATTACTTAGTAAAACTAATACAACCAATATTAAATGAAAACCCAACTCGATTAAAAAATTCGCAACAATTTGTAGAAAAAAGCAAAATCATGGGACATATCCAGTGACGAAATTCAGATATCATTAGACGTTATAAACTTATACCCGTCAATATATATACATTTGCAAATATCCCCGAGAGTATAATAAACAGTATAAACGTTATGTACAATATAAAATATACGACGCCCCCACAACATTCCTTTTGACGCAACACATTAATAGTTTATATATAATACAATTATTTACTCTAATTACACTGCTGTAGGTAAAGTTGTTTGTCTTCAGAGGACAACCAATTTCCATCAGTTTTGTTTATATCAAAGAGGCTTGCTAATTTCTCCAGAAATCTCTAACCCTTTTTCTTTCTGTATCACACATATGCATCAATTAAATTTGCAATTTTTGGGTGAACACGTTGCAATAATATGACAGGAAAATTAAATTTATCCCAAAGTAAAATCAGTTCTTTTGCAATAGTTTCTATTCTTATTTTCTTCTCATTCATTTTATCATGTAATCCAAAAAAACGCCCAACAATGTCCCTGTTAAGAGGCATTTTGCAGAGTTCATTTAATTCAGTAACTTGCAAAGGTATTTCTGAACGCCTGACAACTTTGCTTTTTATATTCTGCTGCCATACATTGGAACTTTTATTAACTAGGTTACGTGATAGCTTAAACATGCCTTTGATGAACTAAATAAAATCTAAATTTTTACGGTCAGAATAGCCACTACAATAAAATAACAAAGCAATTAGTCAAAAGCAGATGAGAAAAATCAAGGCTTATAAAGCCAAATTACTCGAAACTCTACTTTTAATATGAAATTTGAAAGTGTAAGCCTATTGGTTAAAGGAAACTATATTTAGCTTTAACTAGCAATAAGAAGCTAACTTTTAAGGTATAAAACATTGCCTACATTAAGCGCAATATAATTATATAACGCCATTTGTTTAAAGTTTTATATTGAATAGTGACGTCATCAAAAGATGCTTATGGGTGCGCCACCTTTTTTCATAATTTTTTACTAAAGGAATAATAAATGCAATCTACATATAAAATCTGCTAAAACCCCAGCAAATGTGTGTGTGTGTGTGTGTGTTGATAGAAAATATACTTGGAATGCTTTCATTACACCTAACACAATTTTTAGAAGTACGTCATAATTGATTTTACGTAATAATTGGAAACTTTTGTTTAAAAAAATTGTTTAATGAATAACTTGTAGAAGAGCGCAACCAAAACAATCAACAATACTTTCGAAAGTATTTTTATACAAAATTATATTTAATAAAAAAGTATTAGAATTCGCTTGACAAATATGCGACAAACATGTGACAAATATGCACGCTTTTAAAGCATCGCGTTTATATTTTATCGCGTCATTCGAAGGATCCTTACCTTACTTCTAAAAAAATATAACGAATTTAAATGAAAACTTTTTTATTGTATCTGTACTAAAAGTTTAAACTTTATTATAAATGGTTGATTATTAATTAATGATTACAAATCAGACTCGAGTACTAAAAAGACAAAACGCTAAATTGACAAAAACGGATAAACTACAGAAACTAAGGATAAACTGCAGGAAATCCATTAAATAGTTTCAATACCTTATGACGACAATTTAAACTTAAAAAGTTTTTTAGGTCCTAGATGTTTTATAAACGTTTCACACAATTTTTTCAAAAAACTCTGGGTTTTTTTTTATTATACTTTAAAATTGTGGATTTATTAAACCGAAGAAAGTTTTGAAATTATTATTTTTTTTTTTTGTTCGTTTTATTATATTTCTTCTTAAGAAAATTTTAGTGGTACAGTATTAAAATAATTTGTTAAGAAAATCTTGCGAGCCGATAAGAAATTAATTCCTTTAATAAAACTTGCGTAATAAAATCTGCTAAAACCCCAGCAAATGTGTGTGTGTGTGTGTGTGTTGATAGAAAATATACTTGGAATGCTTTCATTACACCTAACACAATTTTTAGAAGTACGTCATAATTGATTTTACGTAATAATTGGAAACTTTTGTTTAAAAAAATTGTTTAATGAATAACTTGTAGAAGAGCGCAACCAAAACAATCAACAATACTTTCGAAAGTATTTTTATACAAAATTATATTTAATAAAAAAGTATTAGAATTCGCTTGACAAATATGCGACAAACATGTGACAAATATGCACGCTTTTAAAGCATCGCGTTTATATTTTATCGCGTCATTCGAAGGATCCTTACCTTACTTCTAAAAAAATATAACGAATTTAAATGAAAACTTTTTTTATTGTATCTGTACTAAAAGTTTAAACTTTATTATAAATGGTTGATTATTAATTAATGATTACAAATCAGACTCGAGTACTAAAAAGACAAAACGCTAAATTGACAAAAACGGATAAACTACAGAAACTAAGGATAAACTGCAGGAAATCCATTAAATAGTTTCAATACCTTATGACGACAATTTAAACTTAAAAAGTTTTTTAGGTCCTAGATGTTTTATAAACGTTTCACACAATTTTTTCAAAAAACTCTGGGTTTTTTTTTATTATACTTTAAAATTGTGGATTTATTAAACCGAAGAAAGTTTTGAATTTATTATTTTTTTTTTTGTTTGTTTTATTATATTTCTTCTTAAGAAAATTTTAGTGGTACAGTATTAAAATAATTTGTTAAGAAAATCTTGCGAGCCGATAAGAAATTAATTCCTTTAATAAAACTTGCGTAATAAATAAACTGATATCATAAGTTTTAGATCGAATTATTTTTACTTTTTTTTATCACAAAAAAAAAAAAAAGAAACAAAATAAAAAGATAAAAAAAAATTAAAGCGTGTGTTTTAATTGTAACACAAATTAAAAAAGTATTTACTGTTGTTTAAAGAATTATAATATTATTTAAAAAAAATAGTTTGTTATAATTTACAATAAATATTGCCATAATGTAAATTAATGAAAGAGTAAAATGTTAAAATGGAGCAAACCATGTTCACCAAAAAGCATGAGCCATGACGCGGATAGTATTTCAAATAATAGCGTACTTTTATTCGGATATGATTCCATGTATGAAGCTGACATTAGCAAAGATATTACCGACGAATTCATTTCGAATGAGAGAATAAGTCATAAAAATCCATTATATGATTTTTTATTCAACAAGAAGAATTGCTACGAACAGAAAGATTTGTATTTAATCGAATATGAAATGATCATGGATTCTTTGGATGAGCTTAGAAAATGGATAGAGGTTAGTTGTAAAGTAAAATTTAAAGACACGCGTTTTTAAATTTTTTTTTTTTTTTTTTCAGTATTATCTTATTATTAATTTTAAGTATATCTGATTCAAAATGTTGGAACAAGTTAGGGTTTCAGTTTTTAATAATGCTATGAAAATGTCTAGCCTTATAAAAAGAAAATACTTTGTTTATATAAACATTCCCCAGTGTGAAACTTAATTCACTTACTTCCACTTTTCTATTTAAAGTATATATTTATTTCACATTAATTGAAAAAATAGTTTCAAAATTAAAGTTAAAAAGCAGACAACCGTAAGTTTTTTGAAGTCTTTGTTTCGTATGCAGGGCCGTGGAGAGCTGGTACCGGTCCTGGGGTAATATCAAACTGACGGGCCCCCTCAGGGCTTAGGGCTTCAGACATATGAATAATACTACTTTTGATACAAATAATTTTTTAATTTGACTATATACAGTATTTTATTTACAAGTATATTTTAAATACAATACAGTGAAAAATTATATATAATTTAACTACAACAAAATTAAAATATATAAAACCTGTAAGTTAGATTAAAACTTTCCTCGCTTTCCTACTGGCAAAATCAGCAATTACACTGTCAAAATTAATCTTTTTTGCTAAATCACACTCCATCGCTAAAATTCCCAAGCCAGAAACTCTACCTTGCGTCATTGTTGATCTTAGATCATTTTTTATAAGCGCCAGTCTGCTAAAAGACCGTTCAGCTTGTGCTACCGTAACTGGTAATGTACAAAAAATGCTCAGGCCAATACAAATGTTGGGGAAAAGATATATAAGTTTCAGGTCGTTGATTTTATTGAGAAGAAGAAAGGGGTCCAAATCATTTTTGATGTTAACATCATGGATAAATTTCAAATGCAAAAGCTCATCAATCAGCTCCATGCAAACATCATCCTTGTATTTATTCACAAAATCCTTACTCCTTCGGCGAATTTCTTCCTCTTTGTAATGATTATACTTCCAGAGAAAGTTAAAAGTTTCGTCAATTTCATATGCAGCTTCATATCGTCTACTGATATTCCCTATAATGCAGTCCAATAATATATAAAAAACGTTTTGTTTAAAATTATTTTCAGAATTTGATAGAGAAATTTCATCAGGTGTCTCATCAGCAAATCGCTTCCTAATTTTTCGTCTAGGTTCTGGAAGTTCTTGAGAAATGTTTAAGGTGTTTGCAACTTATTTACTCTCCACCATAATAGAATCCCATTTATCTCGAAGAGTTTTTAATTCATCAATTAGTCGTTTGATGTTGGTCACTTCTACATCCAATGTAGCATTCCGTGCTTGCAAAACAAGATTGGTGTAATTGATAGCAGTAAGTACTTTGAACCATATAGCGGACATCAGAATGCATTTAAACGATTCCATATATGAAATAATCCCATTTAGATCAGCACAATTTTCTATAGACAAATTTAGGTTCCTTATATCAGCTACTGATTTGATTATACCAGGAAGGTGGGTTGCGAATGGCTTAATGCAGTCCACTCTAGCTGACCAGCGCGTTTGGGACATGCTATGAAGAGACGAACCAATATTTTTTTTTAAAATTTCCCATCTTTGAGGACTGCTACTAAATATGTTATACAGTTTTTGCACTATCCCAAAGAAAGTTATCACTTGAGGACAACATTCAGCAGCTTGTGCACCGCATAAATTCAGACTATGACAAGCACAGGGAGAGTAAGTAGCAAGTGGATAATGTTGAAGAATTCGAGCTTGTGCTCCCTTGACTGAACCTTTCATATTACTCCCATTGTCGTATCCTTGTCCACGACAGCACATCAGTGGTATTTTATGTTTCTGAAGAGTAGAAGTAATTATATTTGCAATATCTTCACCAGTTTTTTTATTGCAATCTACAAATTCCAGAAATCTCTCTTTTACCTCATATTTTCCTGTCAATTTATCCTGTAAGACGTATCTTAAAATAAAAACATTTTGCTCAATATGAGCTGTATCAGGCGTTGCATCCACAATCATTGAAAAATATTTCCATTTCTCCCTCTCATCTAATATCACATCTGTGACTTTCTCTGCACAGCACTGAATAAACTCATTCTGGATATCATTTGACAAATAATGTGCTTGCATTCGCTTATGGCTCTGTTGAGAAGCTTTTACTTATCGAGATGATCATGTAGAATGAAATCGTAATGACCAATGAGTTCCATAATTCCCAAAAAATTCCCATTTTTGGGGTCACCAATTAGATGACTATCGCCTCTAAATGCAAGACCTCTTTCATCAAAAAACAAGATAACATCTAATACTCTACGAAGTATTTGCCTCCATCTTTCCACTTCTGTCTTTATATTATCATTTAGTAGAAAATTGATAGTTGTATTATCTCTGAGATTTTCTTCTAATCGTCTCCATTCTACATAACACATTTTATGCCCACTGCTGGATTGATGATGAGGAATTTTTTCATAAAGTTTCTTCCATTTATTGTCCTTGGGCTTGGAATATCCTGTTGGCAGAGATAATGCCGATCGATGGGTTTCTGGCATTTTAGAGAAAAGTCGGCAGGGAAAACAGTAAAATGCACTCTTCGTCTCACTCCACGTTAGCCAATCTTGTGGAATTTTTTCGCCATTTGGCATGGCAATGTGAAATAACGTGCGCGGAAATGATTTAGGCAATGCATCTTTTAAAATTTTGTTGGGTGAGCAATGGTTCCATGATGAACAAATTTTTCTATTTGTTCAGCAGTGCAAAATAATTCCTTAATTAAACCAATATCATAGTTATTTGATGGAACTAGTTGGACATCATCTGCCTTGTCTTGTAATTCTTCTAGCCTTGCAGTTGATGTCTTTGGAAGAATATTTTTATTTTCGTCTATTACATTCTCTTTCACATCAGCACTCATAACTTTCCTATTTAACAATTCATCTTCCTCAATTGGCACTGGCTCTACTTCAACATTTGAGAGTTGTGACTTCATCTTGCACATCTGATCCTCAGAAACACCATCAATACGATTACAATTCATAAATCCAAAAGACTCAATCGTACTTTGACCCTTCTTGGCTAATTTTTCTCGAGCAATCTTTTCTTTTCTTTTTTGAGCACCAGATTTATGCTGGTAATGATCCATAGCTGCATGTAGTAGGCTGCCTATGCGAGGTCCTGTAACAATAGAACAAAAATTTATTAGTTAAGTTAATAAGTAAATTGACAAATTAAAATAAATGACAATTAATAATTGTTAAAAGTTAAAATAGAAGTTCAGTTTAATGTACAGTACAGTATATACTGTATAAATAAAATAGATATATGTATATAATATATATATATATATATATATATATATATATATATATATATATATATATATATATATATATATATATATATATATATATATATATATATATATATATATATATATATATAACTTTATATATTAAAATATATATATATATATATATATATATATATATATATATATATATATATATATATATATAACTTTATATATTAAAATATATATATATATATATATATATATATATATATATATATATATATATATATATATATTGTTTAAATGAAGAAAAACAACATTATGATAGTACTTAAAGTTTCGTGCCTTTCGGCAATCATCAGCTATTAATTACAAATTAGAAATTAAAAATTAACGTTTAAAAAACGAATCAAAATTTTACAGTAGAACGAGTTCTGGCGTAATTTCAAAAGGCGCACAATTATTGTTTAAATCTTCTTTTTTTTACTATTTTAATTTTGTTTTCGTAATTTTAAGTTTTGAAATTTTAATTTTGCTTTCGTAAGTTTAAGTTTTGAAATATAGAATCTATATTTGTTAAATATAGATTCAATTTAATTTAATAATAAAAAATCAACTTCAATAATTAATTCAAATATAACCGCAAGAATTTTTTTTTTGAATGATTTATTAATTTACATTTATAAATTTATTTTTGAATAATGATTCAAAACACCAACACATCAAACAAGAAAAAAAACAGAAAAGCAGCAATTCTTGCAACTATTTATATAAAAAAATTAAACGAAAATAGCTATATCAAAAAAATGTTACGGAGCTTTTAAAAAATACGTTTATTTCACGCCTGTTTCTTATGATAAAGAATGGAGCAAAAATATTAAATTGGTTTTTTTAAATAATATTGATAAATGTTTTGATGCAAGATTTTAAGGTAACTAAACGAAACAAAACAAAAAAACGAAAGTTTTTTCGTTTTGTTTTGAAAGTTAAAAGAAAAGTTTTACGAAAAATTTAACGATGTCATCTAATTTTACCGCCACTGCATGTAATAAACTATATCAACTGCCACTGCATACAGTAGTAAACGCGATCCCTAAGTGGAAATCTAAAAAACCGCTGTTTTATCTCATGTTTTTTAATTTAAAAACCAGAAAAAAATATTTATTTTATTTAAAGCATTAGCATTATACTGTGTATTTTCTAGAAAATATTTATTCTGTAACAAAAAAAATCGAAATTTTACCACGGTTATCTTTTTCTTTTACTAAGAAATAAAGTGGTAAAATTTAGTAAAAGATAAAAGTTAGTAGCATAATCTTTATCTATCACTAGAAGAATTTTTTCGTTTGAAGAGCATTACTAGAAGAATCTTTTCGTTTGAAGAGCATTATTAGAAGAATCTTTTCGTTTGAAGAGCATTACTAGAAGAATCTTTTCGTTTGATGAACATTACTAAAAGAATCTTTTCGTTTGAAGAGCGTTACTAGAAGAACTTTTCGTTTGAAGAGTATTACTAGAAGAATCTTTTCGTTTGAAGAGCATTACTAGAAGAATTTTTCGTTTGAAGAGCATTACTAGAAGAATTTAATAAGTTAAATACATTGCCTTATAAACCGAGACTTATTAGAATTTGTTTTTTTTATTTCACTCATGTTTCTTACAGTTGTGCTAATCAATCATTATTCTTAGATCACTGACACAGTCATTGCTCTCATATCACTGACACAGTCATCGTTTTCAGATCACTGACACAATCATTGTTCTCAGTTTAATTCACTATAACACCAAGAGATGAAAAATTTGTTAAACTGCAAGCATGTAAAGCATGGCGTTAGCATACAAATGGCTGCTTTTAGAGCTAATGTTGGAAAATTGCATGTCGGTTAATTTTTATAGTTTGTTTAGGAGTAGTTGTTTATAGGATTATCTTTAGCGCCATTAATTTTTCTTCAGGTTGATGTTGAATTAGGCCACTAATACTCTAACTTATCTTTTCATACTCCTTAAGCTTTACATTTTATTAAACAGAGCAAAATTAGGGGATAGGAGTAAGCATTTACAAAAAAGTGGCACCCTACCAAAAAAATATCTTCTTGAACTTGAGTAAACGTAAGTCGCTACATAAATTTTAAGTTTTTCAAAAAAGAAGCAATTTTTTTGTTTCTTTTTTTTAAAAAAAGTTTTTTTTAAAAAAAAAAGAAACAAAAAAAGCAATTTTTTTGTTTCTTTTTTTTTAAAAAAAGTTTTTTTCAAAAAAGGAGCAAAAGTTTTTTTTAAGTTAAACTTAACCTTTTAAATTCAAGAGTTTACAGGTTATAAGTGCAGCATTTATAGTTTATATTTGTTCAAATTTAATAAACAAAATAATTAAAACAAAATAAATATAAAACTTTTACATCAAATGGTTTTTTTTAAACAACTCATTCTTTTGCTTCTAATATAAAGAAAGATAAGAATAGATTTTATTTTGCAACAAAGAAACAAATAAAACTAGGTTACTCTTTGATGAATAACTTTTTTATTTATAGCATATTAAATTAAATGCAAAATTAACAAACATGAACTTTCAATCCTGCATTTATAACCTGTAAAATGTAAGTTGGTGACAAGCCATATTCTTTTTTAATTTTTTTACTAACTGTGACAATACCAAAAAAAATCAAAATTAATTTAATATCTTCAAAATCTGCATTTTGACAAATCACATCACTTAAAAAGATGATTTCTCTATAAAGTTGAACTTATGTAATTTGAATTCTCATGGGATCTCAAACATGTTCGAATTACATAAGTTATTAAGTTATAAAAGTTCAATCCTAAATATTAAACTCAGGAGAGACCGAAGAATTTTTTTGATTAAAATTATTTCACTAATTATGTGTTCGAATTACATGGTGTCAACTCTATATCGCAAAAATGCAATAACAAATGTACATCTAAAATGCAATAACAAATGTACATCTAAAATGCAATAACAAATGTACATCTAAAATTGCAAACGGATATATCATCATGTATTGCAAAAATATTGTTAAAGATTGCAAGAGATTATAAAATATGTTTTACCAATAATGAAGAAAAAGAAATTTAGCTCCTTATAAATATTCTAAAAAAAAGTTAATATTGAAAATTTTTAGATATTGTAAGCATTACAAACCATTTAAAAGAAAAATGGTCAACAAATTAACACAAAAAATATTATTATACTTAATTCGGTTTCAAAACAGTCTTGTTCTTGGCGCGAGTTTTGCAAAGTTGACATAAAAACAATTTTTTTGTTTTAGAAGATTTTTACTTAACCTAGTATGTAAAAATAAGTTGAAACTACCTCTAAATATTAGCTAGGTACTTGTCAAAATAGCTACCCAGCAGTGATGGACAAGGCCAACAAGACACTAGGCCATTATTAATAGGGCAGTTTTTAGAAGAGTTGGGTTTTTGTTAAAGTTAAAAGAATGCTAAAAAGAGAAGTTTCTCAATTGCTAGTCCTACTGTTTTCATTGGGATTAGCAATATATTTAATTCTGTATCTTTATGTTCCTCGTTGGCAGGGCCGTATCTAGCATACAAAGACTGGGGGGGGGGGGGGTGCAATCGTTACAAAAACTTTTCTTGTTTTGAAAAAAGGATTTTTTTCGGAAAAATTTTCAAAATCATAATTGCATTTTTAATTTACTACCTGTAACACGTTAAAAGAAATAAAATATTTTTTTTCTGAAAGATTATATAAATTTTACAATGCAAATGAAATTTACAGTATTTCAAAAGCATATACAAACAACAACAAATTTAACGTATAAAACGCAAAACTGCATAATCAATTACTCAATTTGAATACGTCTTTGTGTTGTTATAGACCATTTTTTTACCAACACGTCAAGATCTATATTGTCCACTAAATCTTTTTCTGACGCCAACAAAATTAATGACTCCAATCTTGCATCTGACATAGTAGAACGCAAAATATTTTTAACAATTTTTAATTTGCTTAATGTTCTTTCATTGTTTGCAACGGACACTGGTGCTGAAGCCATTAGCTTAAAAGCTTTGAAAACTCCTTGGAATATGTTTTGTCTTTGCCACGACAGTTTTAATTTTTCATTGTTTGTTGGAGCATCAGATTTAGTAAATGTGTTCATAAAAATGTCTAACTCTGCATGAAATAAATGAGCATCTGTATTTACTCCATTATTTGGCATTAATAGGCACAGTTTTTCGACATCTTTTATTGTAAAGGTTTTTGTTGACTGCTGAAGAAGAGAAAATGGTTCAATGCTCAACCATGAAGCCAGTAAATTTTCATTCAATTCGTAAATAAGACAAACACGCAATTAAATTGTTGGGTGTAGTATTGATAGATATTTCTAGAACATAGCGTATCAGGATTGTCATCATAGCGTTTTGGAGTTACTCTTCGTCTATGACGATCTTCGTATATTTTTAATGCATCGATTTCATACTTGCTACATATTTTAATTGCTGCATCAATTTCACGATGTACTTCAAATTCTTTTTTTCTATTTCGTTCAAGAGATTGTATTGTAGACAATACAATCATTTTAGCATCTAAAATGTTCAACTCAACTTTCTGCAACTCATCAGTAAGAATCTTTGTTTTTGCAATGACTCCTTTGATAAGCATAAGCATAATGATAAAGTCTGGATTCACAATTTTTTTAAGTATTGCTAAAGCTTGATCCTTTGTTTTCTTATCAAATAAATTGGACTGACTTATTTCATAAAAACATTCAACAATAGATGAGAATTCAATTAGAAGTTTTTCCAAATGTAAATTGTCTGTATTTTTCACTTCATCTAGTTTTAATTCGCACTCACTTAAAAGTTTACACAGCTTTGCAAATTTACCCACCGAATCTGAAAACGTAGTTTCTTTTTCCAATAAATTAACATCACTCGGTTGGGATTCTACTAACAGAGTTTGATCACAGAAATCCAAAATTTCAGGCACTGCTAGTATTTCATCATTAGTAATATCAATGTTTTTACTCTCATTTATTATCTCACATTCAATTTCAGATGATTCATTTTCAATTGCTTCAGAGATTTTTGTCAGATTTTCATTGATATTCAATTCCACTTCATTTGTAATGTTGCTTGGGCAAAGTTCTTGGGCATTGAAATTAATTTTAGACAAACTTATTTTGCTGCACGATTGGAAATTTATTGCTGAATTGGTTTCAAAAGGGTTTCGTGGTGCGCCATACTTCTCATAAGGTATCCCTTTATGGTTTCGGATATAATCCAAATGATAAATTCGATTATGTGTCATCCGATAGTCATTATCAAAAATTGAATGTGAACAGTTCTTGACTTTGCATTTGACTTTGTATCTTTTAACACCAGGATGTGGTATCTTGAACCCAAAATCTAAGATAATTACAAATTAAACTAACAAAATATTCGCCTTAAAAAAATATATAAATGATTTAATAAATTTTAAACTTTTTAAAATTTTATTAGTAAATACGTAACTTA